AATATCAATGTATGCTCATTTGATCGCATTTTTAAAAACGTACCAATAGATGGCGCACCCTGTATATAAAAATAATATAATTATATACATAGATGTACTTAATTGCACATTTTCTTTTATGTTTCATGGCTAACGGAGATCTTATCAAGTATAAATAGACTCTCTATTTATACGACATATTCTCCTTATATGTGTATCCGCACTAATTAACATCTATGTGACTATATTTGTATCCAAAGTGCTTGCGTCCGATACATATGCCTATACGTATTTACACTGACACGCGTGTACAATACAAACACACATGTGTATGAAGAGATGTGTTCCTAAAGTCTATAGGGAAATATTCAACACAAATGCAACACTATGCTGCACAGCAAAACACTATGTAATTAATGACATACGTGAAAACATAGTTTATGTTAATAACGATATAATATCAATTCAAACGATGCAAGTACATATATTGAGAGAATTAAGTTCACTCAATTTATCTCAAAATTGTGTCAGTTTGTGTAACATTAAAATGCAGACTTAAAAAAATATCTAATGGATACATCATTAAAAAAAAAAAATCTTTCCATTTCCATAATTGCGAGTCGTCACGAACTTTATTTTTATCGTTCATTGTTGTCTGAGATACACCACTGATATTTATGTTATAAAGTGATGTACTTTAGATATGAATCATATTATTCTACATAATTAAGTTTACGCAGAGTTGGGTAGTGCTAAGGTAAAAAGATAAAAGTTAAGTTAAAAAGTTAATTAATTTTAACTTAACTTAGTTGCATTTTATAGATAACTATTAACTTTTAATTTGATTTTTTTTTTTTCATCAATCCTTGGACAATGCGAGAGGCTAATGAGTATATAATTTAATAATTTTATATTGTATAATTGTTACTTGTGAACAAAAATAACTAGATTCTTTAATAAATAAATGTGAGAAAGGAAAAATACGAAAAATTATGTAAAATAGTCAAACTTTTTCTTTTTGGGGGGGGGAGGTTGTTCGTTTGAACGAAATTTAACTTTTAACTTTTTAATTACTTTTTTTATTAACTTAACTTTTAATTCAATTAATTTTATTATGAATTAACTTGTATTTTAATTAAGTTAAATTTTCAAGGCTGTTAACTTTAATTTAACTTAATTTTAAAAAAAAGTTAACTTACCCAGCTCTGCGATTACGAATATATAAGTTTTATTTTTAAAATTAGATAAAAAATAGACTATTTCTGGACAATTCAAATAAATATAAAATGATTTATACAAAACGAACATGTTTTATTTATTTTATTATAAATTAGATTAAACTGATATGCGTTCTTAAATAAAATATGTAAAATTTTAATCACATATTTATCTTTTTTTTTGTTTGTTAGGACGTGCCCTTCATAAACCCTGCCAACGTAGTGTTCGTGTATATGCTAGTGAAAGAGCTTGTCGATGGAGATGAGGCATCCGAGAAGGAGCTTCAGGCGACGGTACTGACGTGTCTTTACCTGAGCTACAGTTACATGGGTAACGAAATTAGTTACCCGCTGAAGCCGTTCCTCGTCGAGGACAGCAAGGACAAGTTCTGGGACCGATGTCTCCTGATCGTCAACCGACTTAGCTCCGAGATGCTGCGAATCAACAGCGAGCCCGGTTTCTTCACAGAGATCTTCAGCGAGCTGAAGGTACGTCCTATTGTTAAAACTTTGTAAATGTTTTGAGAATCATATACATCCTGCGTCTTGTTACTTATTAATCTTATTAATACAAGCACAATGAGATAGCGTTTCTTACTCAAAAAGATGACAACAAAAAAAAGTTTTCCAGAAAAGAGGAAAAATTATTTTTCAACTTGGCAGAAAATTGTCTAATCGAATAATGTTGCAGCAAAAGGAATATATTTTTAACATAATCAAATATTATTTTTGTTCCCGTTTTACAATTTAAAAAAAAAATCATCTTTTCTGAGTTGTGATAATTTTTTATGAAGTTAGATAACTTTCAATGAGGTAATATTTACTTAACCCACACACACATTCAGTAATAACTCGAAAATCACTTTTGAAGTAAAGACATGATATAATATTTCCACTCTAAGAATTTGATATTATTTGATTCTACTAATTTGTCAATTGCTTATATTATAATTTTTGCATTTGAAACACATAAATCCACAAAAAAAACTTTAAAATATTTATTTTATTTTTTTATATTAAAATTAAAATTTATTTGATAAGAGGCGATAATTTTCCCCCTATATCCTCTTCCAAGAATTGTTAAAAAAAAAAAACGCACAACAAAATAAGATCACATTGAATGTAACTCTAATTTGCGATTTCGAACAGGCCTGCGGTTCCAGCGAACGCGGAAGTCTGTCTGGCAGTGGCCTCGAACGGAGCCTCGTCGTCTCCGGAGTCGCGGTACCCACCAAGGCAGCTTGACGGAGCTACACACACCTGCTGGTGCGCATCGCCAGGCACGGCTGCGACGTCACGACGCTCTGACGATGGCCGTCGCGACGACGTGGAGCTGCTCTCGCAGCTTGACCCCACCGCATCGACCTCGACTTCGACCCCGACGTTGCCCCGCCCGCAGCCGCGGTCTAGTCGCGACGATGGCATATTCTGCCCGTCGTGCGGCCGACGACGTCGCGAGGAGATCTCATGGATGATCGAGGACTTGGACGCCATCGAACCGGCACCGCTGGAGTCGCAAAGAACGCCGACAAAGATCTGTAGCTGTGGCGAGACCGACGCGGCCCGTAGAGAACGCGCCAGTTTCCTGAGGGTACGCAGCACCGACGTGACATGGAGTACCAGCAGCTTCTTGTCGCCCGACGAGGCGATCTGGGATCTTAGAAGGCGCACCAGCGAGGGTACGGAGTTTCGCTGGGAGCTCCATACCTCGACCACAGACTTGGATCTCGTCCGAAAGACCAAGTGCAGCTGCCACAGTCTGATTCCGGGACAGAAAAAACCGGAAGGTGTACACCGCGGCGATCTCAGAAAGCATCACAGTGCAGAGACGGACAAGTGGTCGGTCAGGCCAGAAAATCTGCTGACACCGATGCACGACCTAAGGAAGCACAGCAGCGACGACACCAGATTCGCGAGGGAGGCCAGATGGTTACAGGTGCCGGATGTGATGCCGAATCCGAAGCCCAGATGTACCTGTCCCAAAGTGAAAACGCCACCACCCGCCTCGCCAGTGGAAGTGAAACCGGAGCTGAAGGAACCGGAGAAGCCGATCACGCAGAAGGAGGAAAAAAAGTTGTACTACTCGAAGTCGCTGACGCCCGAGGAACCAGCCGTGCTATGGGAAAAGCCAGAGGTGAAGAGGCAAGCCAGCGAGGATCCGAGAGCCGCCAGAGGGAAGCCTAGAGATCGACCCAAGCTGGAGCGCTCCGCTCAAGTGAGAAGCGAAAGTTCGAGGAGATGGGGCTTCTCGCAAAGGGATAAAGACAAGGACAAGGAAAAGGAGAAGGAGAAGGTTATCAGCCCGGTGGAGAGCAAGAAGCCGATACGAGCGAGATGGGCCATGAAGCCGCACGTATCTCTACCCGCCGAGAAAAAGGCGCCGAAATGGTACAGGAGTCAAGACGAGACGAAGAGCAAGAGTCTGCGCGAACGGCCCAAGTACAGCATACGCAGAAGCATGTCACCGGAGCCGGATCCACGACAAATGAGCAAGCTAGAGAATAGAGTTGTGCGACGTCTGATTTCACCAGAGATCAGCATCACCAGCACCAAATGGGCACCGTATGAGGACTCGTCACCGTTACCGACGATCGGGATAAGAAAACGCGACAAGCAGAAGCACATCAGCGATATCAAGTGGACGCCGTACGACGAATCACCGAGCGAAATCCCGGTCGAGGTAATCGACGACAAGAAATGGTCACCCTTCCACAATGTCACGCCTACGCACTGTCCGCCACCGGAACCGACGACACCCAGCAAGAGTGACGACGAGGAGTTCCGCTGGAAGATTCTCAATATGGTCGCGCCGTTCCCACTCTACCAAGGCGGTTGGAAAGACGAGTCGCCGGAGAAGACACCACCGAAAAAGGCGACGACGCCGGACGACCTGTCGACGCCGATTTGGTCACCAAGGGAGCCTACCACGCCCACCGCTAAGCGGAAGAGTGTCGTGCAGCCGGATTACTCGCCGGAATACTCACCGGCGCCACGCAGATCCAGCAAGCCTCGGCTCATCCGGAAGGGTGCGATCAGAGTGAAAGCGTCCCTCCCCACCACCAGTCCTCTGGAGGACAGACTGCCCCAGGCCGGGCCGCCCCCGCCGACGGTAATAATACGTGCTGCTAGTGAGGAGACTAAACGACAGAGGCCCCAGCTGACCAGGTCCAAGGCCCTGCTGGAGGTGCCGAAGCATATAGACGCAACGAAGAGATCGTTGAGCGAAGAAGGGCCGCGCATGCATCCTCGCGAACGTCCCAAACCGCCTGGAAGAACTCGCAGCGAGGAAGTGTCCAAGTACGACGATCCTTGGTTGAGGGCGGAGTCTCCTGAGCTGCGTGAGTACGTTACGACGGTATAACGATTCCTTCCGTAAACCGTCGGTGTCGTTAGGTGTCATCGGCAGTGAACGTGGGCACTGGCTTCCTTAATTTATAATCGACCCGCTTATTACAAGCAGCTCAAAAAAAAAATAATAATAATAATAACGCAGCAAGATATATAAATGGAGATCGTGTACAGGAATTATTATTTTCTAATATATCCATTACTACAATTTTATAAAGAGTTACTGAATAAAAGTACGAGGTCTCAGACTAAAATGATGTTAAAATTGGGGTTCAAACAGCTACTCGGAGAGAGAGGGCGTCCCGCGACAGACAGCGGCTCGGTTATCCTCGCAAGGGCCTCATGAAGAGATAATCTTCGAAACCACCTAAAAGACGAGACGGCAGGGCACAGCTAGTCGAGATGAAGATTAACGAGGTTCGAACGAGACGGGGAAGGAAGATTCTAACACAATCGCATTCGTATGGGTGCCGAAAACTTCGTTGGCCTACACGAAGACTACAATGGAAAATTCCAAAAAAAAAAAAAAAAAAAGATAGAAGAGAAGAAGAGAAACGAAATAACTTCGAATTCATTTTCGGCATTCGACGGTCGTTTCCACAGCGAGAGGCGAGTCGAAACGGGCGGAAGTCGAGGCGAGGGGGTCAAGGACTGACTATTATTATTTAAATAGAGTAAATATATACATGTGCGTTTCTCGCGTTGCGCGCTCGCAGGAAAACGGAGGTTACTTCTCCTCGGGACGCGGCGCCTGTAATACTCTCAGCTCAAGACGAGATGTAGGGTTGCGCGCGACTGGGCGGACATCCGGCAGGAAAATCCGCGAACTCTGTGTGAGGGCGAGCAGACGAAAGAGCCGGTTGCCACCCGGCGGGCGTATACGAGACGATGGTTCACCTGTAGGGCGTTGATTGATAGTTCTGTACCGTAATTAGTAACTTAATGCTAAAAACGATTAAAGTATCGACTAGGGAATAAATAATGACATGAATCTCTGTAGTGTAAGCGTGACTAGTTGATTCGCGGAGAGAGTGTTCTCCGTTACGAAGGATGAGAGATATATACAGGGTGCGTCCGACGTGAATCGAGGGGGATTCCCCTCGATCGCGGACGCGCGCGAATAAATAACGTTTAAGCGTAATTTGTATATGTACGTATACTCCGTACGTGTACACGTAATTATATAATATTTGTAACGTTCGCTTTTTTTTTCTTGAGCGACAAGTGTATAAGGAGGAGAGGAGGTAAATGGAAGAGAAGGAGAGGAAAAAAGAAAAAAAGAAAATCACGGAGATGCAATTACGAGCGCATCGTGATCAAAGGATTGGCCTCGTTCCAGGGGCAACGCGGATCCCCGCGTGGGATCCGCCCGATCGAGAACTGTCGGGGCTCGACGAGATACTCTTTGTTATTCGTTCATATCTGGTTTTTTTTTTTTACACATATCGACGTGCGAGATCGTTGGATCGATTGCGCAGCAGCCCCGCAATTTTACGATCGCGCGAGTGCGTGCTTGGATCCAGATTCGCGACGATCGATTTCATTCGTTGTTTCGGGCGACGATCTGGCGGTCGTAAAATGAAAAAAAAAAAAGAAAAAACGTCGCCGGATAACGTAGCCCCTCCCCATGTGCCGGTGCGTGCAATATTAATTAAGAGGTCGAAACGACTCAAAGCGTCGGTGGACAGCCGCGTGAATACGGGATACTAAGAGATGAGAAGAGAATAAACTAAATTCTTTGAAGTGGAATCTCTAAGGAGTGAAAATTGAGCCGGAGTCTTGAAAATGAGCGACTCAATTCAATCTTTAAGAGCGAGATTCACTCTTCGGGGTGAGATTTACTGTAAACATTTTAGAGAGTAAGGAGAACTCATACTAGCAAACGTCCAAGGGACATTCTAGATGTTAAGAAGACGTTTCAAAGTCTATAAGGGTATATTGTCGGAACGTCCCTCGGATAAGGTGTGCTATGTAGGGAGAAAACCGACAGGGTGTGTCCGTGGGGGGACGATCGGCTGCGCGTAACTCGATCGTTTCTCCCTTCGTCCTCGGTGTGCAGTTCGTTTTCGATTGAACGACGCCGTGTCTCGTTGCCACTTGTGTTGTCACTCGCCGCGCGCTACTCGCTTCAGTTTCGCGATCGCGCATAAAGGACGTTTCGTTGTGTCCCGCCTTCGACACGCGGGAAGTGGTTTCGCGCAAGTTTTTTTTCTCCCACCCTCCCTTGCGCCTCCCGTGATCTTTTCTATATCGTACGCGTGTGTCTCGTGAACGATACGGCTTAGTGTTCGGCGCGGCTGATATTAACTATGTATAGCATAGGGGATTTCTCACTTATAGGTACCGTCATCCATGAGCAGATACCGTTAATGGAGAGGCCACCCCCTCGCGCACATTAGGGGCGCGTTAGTTGCACCCGAGTGCGCTCGAGCGACGACGCTGATTAGACGTCAGCCCTTTATTTTCCTCCATTGACGAACACGTCCGATCTCGTGTCGCGCGAACGGCCGCCGTCATTTAGCGCATAATTTTTTTTAGGATAGCTCCGCGTAATTGGCGCCGCGTGAACGGTCACCCGGTAATTTCGCGGTACCTTTTTGTCTAAGTACCTTAATACCGTTCTCTCTCTCTCTCTCTCTCTCTCTCTCTCTCTCTCTCTCTCTCT